CGTGATCAAGAATTACCTGACTACATAGATTAGTTACACAATATAACCTAATGTTGTGATAAAGGTTCTCTTCTAATTTCATATCTGCGATACAGTATTCTTCTACAAAGACGACATGCTTTAAAGAGGCTAGATTTATAGCATGGTGACAAGAGATTCTCTTAAGATCGGCAATTGAGTTACAAAAGTTGTTATAAACAAAGCTTAATGAACTACCCGTATCGATCAGAGCTTTTGATTTAGAGTTTATCAAAAAAAATGTGTATTGTAGCTTTACGTAGACAAGAATAAGCTGCTACAGCAAAATTAATGGTTGCCAGTTTTCCGTTATTTGGGGAGATAGCATTTAGACAGTCTTTCTTACTTCGACAAACATTTGCAAAATGACCTTTTTTTGAACACAATTGGCAATTAGTATTGAGAGCCGGACAACTAGTTCGTTGATCTACTTTACCTCCACAGAAGAAGCACTTCTTTTAGCATTAAGAGATAATCCAGGTTCATAACATGCCAAATTTTCCTCAGCCATTTTAATAGTTCTCGTTAGAGTGAAAGCTTCTTCGAGATCTAAAGTAATATGCTGCAATATTCGTTGTCTTATTTTCTGAGACCGCAGACCAGCAATGAACGCATCTCTTATATGATCATTAGCATTTTTCTCAGCAGTTACGATTTTGAAGTTGCAGTCTTTGCTAAATGCTTCAATACTTGAATATATTGGTCTAGTTTTTTATCACCAGCTTGTTTCCTGGAGGACAAGGCATAGCGGGTATAGAGTTCGCTTTTGGGCTTGATATATAAATTTTGCAGAATATCCAAAACATTTCTTAGACTTTTACTATCGCTGATAAATGGATAAATGTTTGGTGAAATATAATTTACTAGTAACTGTAGTATAGTTTGCTCTACCATCGCAGGTTGGCCCTTCGATGCTTCCGATACTTGCGTTACAGCAGATAGAAAATTTTCAAAGGTGCTCTTCCAGTAGAGCCATTGAAGTCCAGCATTGTTAGAGGAAGGATCTACATCCAATCTTTCTGGGCGTATTTGTCTATATGTTAAATTTAAGTGAATAAATTGTTCTAAAAACAATACCAAGAATAAAGGCTTTTTTCAACTTAAAATACAACTGACAAATATAATGACATTAACAAAATAATGATAAGACAATAACTTACAAACTACAAGGTAACGATATAGTAACTAGCACATTACCGTTTCAATTTAGTAATGAAGAATATGCAGACATTCTTTTTGTGTTCGGTTTTTGTAACAGAAACGGTATAGCAGCAGTAAGAGAATATCGCAGACGCTTTCCTAATCGCCGTTAACCAAATTTTAAGAATTCAGTAAGCAACATGGAAAGTTTTCAATTACAGTTAAACATGAATATATTTCAAAACATAATCTTCAGCAAGAAGACAAATAGTTCGAAATAATCCTTCTATAAGTGTAAGAAGAATTAGTAATAAATTAGCAGTACCAATAACAAGTACCAGTAAAAAGTACAGCGACTTGAACACGGAGAAGACGTACCCCGTTTATATTTTTGTAGGTAGACTTTAACCCACAGAAAAGGACAACATCGAGAATTTTATTTACTGATGAATCCAAATTTACACGTGCTGCGATTAATAATACTAGGAATGGTCATATTTGGTCAATTAAAAATCCTCAAACTGTATTACAAAAACATTTCCAATACAGATTTTCTATAAATATATGGTGTGGTATTTATAAAAATCATTTAATGTCTTCTTGTTTTTGAAGTTTATTTAAATTTCGTTTAATTTGTTAAAAGGGATTAATACCAGAGGAATGTGGTTTCAACACGATGGTGCTGGACCTCATTTTCCAATACTGGTCAGAGACCGATTAAATCAACGTTTCTCAAATAGATGGATAGGTCAAAGCGGTGCCATTAATTTGCCACCAAGCTATCTGGATTATTTTTTATGGGGCTACCTTAAATTAGAGGTATACCACGAAGAAATGAATATCCGAGCACGGTTATTGAATAAAATTTATAATGTATGTAACAACATTAAAAATAAACCGAAAATAATTACCAAATCAGTGAAAAACCTGTTTAAACATTTGCAAAGATTTATTAACGTTCATGGTGTTCACTTTAAAAATCTACTTTAATTTTAATTAATTAATTATTTGTTTCTGTTAGTTTGTTCTGTTAGTTTATTAAAAAAGGTGTGCCCGGTCCTGTGCAGATGTTCAATTTCTTATTGTAAAATGCAGTAGTTAAAAATAAATATGGATGATACTTAATTTGTGTAGAGTTTTAAAAATATGGAGTAAATTTTTGATTTCGATCTTGTAAATACTGATTTATAATATTGCAGACGCCATTACAAAAATTTAGTGTAAGAAAGTCATGATGGTGCCATTAAATATTATTACATTATTTTATTTACTGATCCTTGTACTATTTAAATGTCCAGTAACTGGGTGATATTCTAGCTAAGAAGAGTAATATTAAAAAAATAGTCCGGTCCTGGAATTTTTTTAAATTATCTCAGAAACGAGTAAGATTAAACGCTAAGTATGAAGATGTTTTGAACTTAGCTAAGTATACTCTACCTCCCATTAACCTGTGTCCATTTAAATCTGAAACACCCTGTATATGACATGCTACATTGTAAAAACTATGTCAAGCAGATGATGTTAGACTTTTAAGCTAGATGAGAAACTATCATTTTTTATTTGAGAAATATGCTATTATACTACAACTATCAGTAGCCATAGTGTGCATAATATATTCATTAAATAAGAACGGTATAGTCCAAACGAATCTTTTATACTCAGATAAGAATCTTTTATTTTTACTTATGTCAAGAAGATCGTTTATTTGTACAAAATTGGCTTAGAATTTCTTATCCCAGCAATATTTTAGAATTTGGCAGCTGCGTCAAAATGTCAACGACCGAATTTAAACCACGAAAAAAAAACAGATTTCATTTCCTTGTTTCCTTTACCCAATCGAAATATCGAAACATTTATTTTAATACATCAAATCCTGATAAATTGTTTAACTTGCAAGGAAATTTATGTGTTTTATATTCAAGCGAAACGCACAATGAATGTGGCTAAATGTTATTTTTGGGAATGATTTCATCAATAGAAAAACAACCGCGTTGCATTTCCGGATACTTAGGAATTTTTGATTTGGACATCGTCTCGATAAGATTTATTTAAACTTCAAATTATCTGTTATTGAAATCTTGAAATCCTAATAAATTGTCTGTATACTGGTAAAACTCGTAAACTACCAAAAATAGCCTAAAAATAGATGTCTTGAGATACATCGATACACTTGCACATTGAATACCCGAAAAATTAATTGGTTTTAAAACTTTCTACTGCAAAAAAGTTAGATTTTTTTAACTAGAAACAGGATGAATAGGCCTTTGTACCACAATTTTTTTTGTGCGCATGCGTCAGTATCAGCCATCTTTTTCGTACTGTTTTTTGTAAACAAGCATGTTAAAAAGTTGACGTGAAAAAAATTATAATCGATAAATCGATGTGTTTAAAATGAGAATTACGAGTAAAAAAATGTGGTTGAAGTGACAAAGGTTTTCGATCGATTGATAGATGATGTTACTAAAGATACTTATATTTGTTCACTACATTTCCATGAAGAAAGTGGTTCAACAGAAGAAAATCTTTGGTATTATACAATATTTTTTAATATTAAATACTACTTCGGTATACACAGTAATATTATTAAAAACGTCATGTTGATCCTTAAAATTTTAAATAATTTATCTTAATAATTATACAAGTGATTAACTTTCATGTTAAAGTGATTTTGCAATTATTAAAAGTTGGTTGGCATAATTCATTAGGATAGAGTTATAATTATTATTTGATTTCATTAATTTCTTACACAGTTAATATGTATTGAAACCTAACCTCACAATTACCACTTTTTTCCTTGTTCCGAACGTCCACGTCACTTCAAGAACCTTTTTAATTGCTCACAACTATGTGCTTCCACAGATTTATAAAAATGTAAATCACCATCAACGATTTTTTCTAATGATTAATTTGTATGTAGAGATAATATTGCTTTTCCAGCCATTGTTGATCAAAACAAGTACGAAACTTTTGAATTTGCGCTATTTCAACATGGTGGCTGCGCTTGCGCTCATTACATGATGAAAAGGCCTATAAATAGTTGTTAATCAAGGAAAGACCAGTTTTTCTCGCCTATTTTTCTACTAGTGCCTGAATCAAATGGTGAACCAAAATTACTTTGAATTTGAAAAATTTTAATGTTTCCTCTGTCTATCGTTTTAACATGAAGGAGAACTGAACCAAGAATTATTACCCTAAATTCTTACTTGAGTTCCATTGACTTAAAGAAGATTTATTTTTTAGTAAAGTTACCAATCATAGGATATATTTACACTCCTATTTAACATTCACTTGCCTGTCATTCAGGTAATTTACAAGCGTCACTGCATTGCCCGATAAAAAATGTCTCCCACTAAATAACTACGTCACAGGCATCATTTATTTCTTGTCCTCATGTCCACTGCTTATTGGTCATCCATATGTGGCAACCACTTTCATTGGTTAGCGATATAGGCGTTATGCACTTCCTAATTGGTCAACGTCAAGCGTGACACTTAAACCCGCTTAATGGCTGGTCTTTTTGCGTCAGAGCTTCAGTCCCTCTCAAAAAAACCACATCACATCGTTATGTGATGTTAAAAAGGCGACGCTTTGTCCGCCATCATCCAACACAACATATACATCATAAAGTAGCTTAAGTAAAAAATTTCCAATATAAAAACTGTAAATAATGTAAAAAGTATGCAGTTTTTTAGTGCACATTGTAAAAACAACCGCGTTGCATTTCCGGATTGTTAGGAATTTTTGATTTGAACAACGTTTCGATAATGTTTATTTAAATTTCAAAATATCTGTTATTGAAATATTGGAATCCTAATAAATTGTCTGTATGCTAGCAAAACTCGTTAACTACCAAAAATAGCCCAAAAATAGATATGTCTTCAGATACCTCAATACTCGAAAAAATATATGTTTTCTAAATTTCCTAAATTTCCTAAATTTCCTAAATTTTTTAAATTTCCTAAATTTCCTAAATTTCCTAAATTTCCTAAATTTCCTAAATTTCCTAAATTTCCTAAATTTCCTAAATTTCCTAAATTTCCTAAATTTCCTAAATTTCCTAAATTTCCTAAATTTCCTAAATTTCCTAAATTTCCTAAATTTCCTAAATTTCCTAAATTTCCTAAATTTCCTAAATTTCCTAAATTTCCTAAATTTCCTAAATTTCCTAAATTTCCTAAATTTCCTAAATTTCCTAAATTTCCTAAATTTCCTAAATTTCCTAAATTTCCTAAATTTCCTAAATTTCCTAAATTTCCTAAATTTCCTAAATTTCCTAAATTTCCTAAATTTCCTAAATTTCCTAAATTTCCTAAATTTCCTAAATTTCCTAAATTTCCTAAATTTCCTAAATTTCCTAAATTTCCTAAATTTCCTAAATTTCCTAAATTTCCTAAATTTCCTAAATTTCCTAAATTTCCTAAATTTCCTAAATTTCCTAAATTTCCTAAATTTCCTAAATTTCCTAAATTTCCTAAATTTCCTAAATTTCCTAAATTTCCTAAATTTCCTAAATTTCCTAAATTTCCTAAATTTCCAAAATTTCTTAAATTTCTTAAATTTCCTAAATTTCCTAAATTTCCTAAATTTTCTAAATTTTCTAAATTTCCTAAATTTCCTAAATTTCCTAAATTTCCTAAATTTCCTAAATTTCCTAAATTTCCTAAATTTCCTAAATTTCCTAAATTTCCTAAATTTCCTAAATTTCCTAAATTTCCTAAATTTCCTAAATTTCCTAAATTTCCTAAATTTCCTAAATTTCCTAAATTTCCTAAATTTCCTAAATTTCCTAAATTTCCTAAATTTCCTAAATTTCCTAAATTTCCTAAATTTCCTAAATTTCCTAAATTTCCTAAATTTCCTAAATTTCCTAAATTTCCTAAATTTCCTAAATTTCCTAAATTTCCTAAATTTCCTAAATTTCCTAAATTTCCTAAATTTCCTAAATTTCCTAAATTTCCTAAATTTCCTAAATTTCCTAAATTTCCTAAATTTCCTAAATTTCCTAAATTTCCTAAATTTCCTAAATTTCCTAAATTTCCTAAATTTCCTAAATTTCCTAAATTTCCTAAATTTCCTAAATTTCCTAAATTTCCTAAATTTCCTAAATTTCCTAAATTTCCTAAATTTCCTAAATTTCCTAAATTTCCTAAATTTCCTAAATTTCCTAAATTTCCTAAATTTCCTAAATTTCCTAAATTTCCTAAATTTCCTAAATTTCCTAAATTTCCTAAATTTCCTAAATTTCCTAAATTTCCTAAATTTCCTAAATTTCCTAAATTTCCTAAATTTCCTAAATTTCCTAAATTTCCTAAATTTCCTAAATTTCCTAAATTTCCTAAATTTCCTAAATTTCCTAAATTTCCTAAATTTCCTAAATTTCCTAAATTTCCTAAATTTCCAAAATTTCCTAAATTTCCTAAATTTCCTAAATTTCCTAAATTTCCTAAATTTCCTAAATTTCCTAAATTTCCTAAATTTCCTAAATTTCCTAAATTTCCTAAATTTCCTAAATTTCTTAAATTTCCTAAATTTCCTAAATTTCCTAAATTTTCTAAATTTCCTAAATTTCCTAAATTTCCTAAATTTCCTAAATTTCCTAAATTTCCTAAATTTCCTAAATTTCCTAAATTTCCTAAATTTCCTAAATTTCCTAAATTTCCTAAATTTCCTAAATTTCCTAAATTTCCTAAATTTCCTAAATTTCCTAAATTTCCTAAATTTCCTAAATTTCCTAAATTTCCTAAATTTCCTAAATTTCCTAAATTTCCTAAATTTCCTAAATTTCCTAAATTTCCTAAATTTCCTAAATTTCCTAAATTTCCTAAATTTCCTAAATTTCCTAAATTTCCTAAATTTCCTAAATTTCCTAAATTTCCTAAATTTCCTAAATTTCCTAAATTTCCTAAATTTCCTAAATTTCTTAAATTTCTAAATTTCCTAAATTTCCTAAATTTCCTAAATTTTCTAAATTTCCTAAATTTTCCTAAATTTCCTAAATTTCCTAAATTTCCTAAATTTCCTAAATTTCCTAAATTTCCTAAATTTCCTAAATTTCCTAAATTTCCTAAATTTCCTAAATTTCCTAAATTTCCTAAATTTCCTAAATTTCCTAAATTTCCTAAATTTCCTAAATTTCCTAAATTTCCTAAATTTCCTAAATTTCCTAAATTTCCTAAATTTCCTAAATTTCCTAAATTTCCTAAATTTCCTAAATTTCCTAAATTTCCTAAATTTCCTAAATTTCCTAAATTTCCTAAATTTCCTAAATTTCCTAAATTTCCTAAATTTCCTAAATTTCCTAAATTTCCTAAATTTCCTAAATTTCCTAAATTTCCTAAATTTCCTAAATTTCCTAAATTTCCTAAATTTCCTAAATTTCCTAAATTTCCTAAATTTCCTAAATTTCCTAAATTTCCTAAATTTCCTAAATTTCCTAAATTTCCTAAATTTCCTAAATTTCCTAAATTTCCTAAATTTCCTAAATTTCCTAAATTTCCTAAATTTCCTAAATTTCCTAAATTTCCTAAATTTCCTAAATTTCTAAATTTCCTAAATTTCCTAAATTTCCTAAATTTCCTAAATTTCCTAAATTTCCTAAATTTCCTAAATTTCCTAAATTTCCTAAATTTCCTAAATTTCCTAAATTTCCTAAATTTCCTAAATTTCCTAAATTTCCTAAATTTCCTAAATTTCCTAAATTTCCTAAATTTCCTAAATTTCCTAAATTTCCTAAATTTCCTAAATTTCCTAAATTTCCTAAATTTCCTAAATTTCCTAAATTTCCTAAATTTCCTAAATTTCCTAAATTTCCTAAATTTCCTAAATTTCCTAAATTTCCTAAATTTCCTAAATTTCCTAAATTTCCTAAATTTCCTAAATTTCCTAAATTTCCTAAATTTCCTAAATTTCCTAAATTTCCTAAATTTCCTAAATTTCCTAAATTTCCTAAATTTCCTAAATTTCCTAAATTTCCTAAATTTCCTAAATTTCCTAAATTTCCTAAATTTCCTAAATTTCCTAAATTTCCTAAATTTCCTAAATTTCCTAAATTTCCTAAATTTCCTAAATTTCCTAAATTTCCTAAATTTCCTAAATTTCCTAAATTTCCTAAATTTCCTAAATTTCCTAAATTTCCTAAATTTCCTAAATTTCCTAAATTTCCTAAATTTCCTAAATTTCCTAAATTTCCTAAATTTCCTAAATTTCCTAAATTTCCTAAATTTCCTAAATTTCCTAAATTTCCTAAATTTCCTAAATTTCCTAAATTTCCTAAATTTCCTAAATTTCCTAAATTTCCTAAATTTCCTAAATTTCCTAAATTTCCTAAATTTCCTAAATTTCCTAAATTTCCTAAATTTCCTAAATTTCCTAAATTTCCTAAATTTCCTAAATTTCCTAAATTTCCTAAATTTCCTAAATTTCCTAAATTTCCTAAATTTCCTAAATTTCCTAAATTTCCAAAATTTCCTAAATTTCTTAAATTTCTTAAATTTCCTAAATTTCCTAAATTTCCTAAATTTCCTAAATTTTCTAAATTTTCTAAATTTTCTAAATTTCATAAATTTCCTAAATTTCCTAAATTTCCTAAATTTCCTAAATTTCCTAAATTTCCTAAATTTCCTAAATTTCCTAAATTTCCTAAATTTCCTAAATTTCCTAAATTTCCTAAATTTCCTAAATTTCCTAAATTTCCTAAATTTCCTAAATTTCCTAAATTTCCTAAATTTCCTAAATTTCCTAAATTTCCTAAATTTCCTAAATTTCCTAAATTTCCTAAATTTCCTAAATTTCCTAAATTTCCTAAATTTCCTAAATTTCCTAAATTTCCTAAATTTCCTAAATTTCCTAAATTTCCTAAATTTCCTAAATTTCCTAAATTTCCTAAATTTCCTAAATTTCCTAAATTTCCTAAATTTCCTAAATTTCCTAAATTTCCTAAATTTCCTAAATCTAAGTAAAGTACGTTTATTTTTGACAAAATCGAAAATTTTCATAAAGAAAAGTTGATTAGAATTGAATATTACATTTAAATATGCAATTACATCGATCTATCTGAAAAAACAGATTCTTATTTTTTATAAACTCTACACATTGATTGTAAATATCTGAAAACGTTATAAATTACGTTAGCTACTATAAACATGATACGCTTTCCTTTTGTTGATGTTTATGAAGAATTTAGCAAATTTCTTAATGAAAATTTTCGATTTTGTAAAAAAATAAACGTACTTTACTCTTGAGCAAAATTCATATTTTTTGACAAACCTCGTATACGGCTTGAAAAATTTGATATCTGATGACTGTATTTTAAGTTTTGGGTCATGCAGGACTGTTTATCAAGAATAACTTTTTTTCCTAAAATCAATAATAAAAATGTTTTCCATATGGTTCCAACTTAAGTAGACACACTGTATAAAATAAATTTTAAAAATCTTTAAAAATGGGCAGACTTACATGAGGCCACCCCTAAGGTACCCCCTTTCTAACAAACAAGAATCATAGAAGTCAGACAAGGTGGTAAAGAATTATCGCTGAATATACATAAAAAAAAAATATTCCGACGAATTGGGAACCCCCTTTTTTTTGAAGTAAGTTAAACAAAAAATATAAAGCGAATTGATGTTTTGTTTGAGCAATATACAGAAAATTCGAATAAAGATTTAACTCGTCGAAAAAGAGAATCTTTTAAATCAATTAATAGGACATCCCGTTTTTATAACAATGGAATTTATTCACTGAATATTTGATAAAAAACAGTTAACCAACTTGTTATTTAACAAACTTGCTGCTTATGGATTCCGTGATTCTAAGATACAATTTGTAACGGGTGGCGGATTTAATAACATTACAGACTTTAAATCCAATATTGACATTTGGATTTGGATCAGTCGACTTTTCTGCAGATTTGTTTAATAATATTAAAAAATTTGTAATAAAATGGATTCTTCAAAAGTGTCAGCAGCCTAGAGCCCCCAAATAGATGATTCCTTATGCGTCCATGTCTAAAGATCTTTGTATCAAACTTAGATTTGGTTACACTCTTTAAAACCAAAGATGAAAATGCCAGTTTTTGAAGGTTACACTATTTAATTTATTTTATATTATTAGAAGTATTAATGCTTATACGTTTGCCACGAACGTTGAACAAAATTCTTCCGATTTAGTACATAGAAATTAAATATCACATTATAGCAGACAGTTTATTCACAAACAAGCACGAAGACTACTATACCAATTAATTAGAAATAGAACCTAGAGTTCCTCGAGGAACTGTTTTTAGACTCGTTATATACTTTATCTACACCATTGATTTGACAGTTTTTGAGCAGAAAGTTATACTATATATAATAAACAGAAGAACAGACTAGTAAAGCTTCAGACTGGACCTTAAAAATAAAATCAATCTTTCAGTTCCGTTAAGAACAAAAACACAGCTAGATGAAGAAGTAGAACTACTTGTGTCCAACATACACCAAGCAGCATGGGATAATACGCCACCTATTATGCAGCAAACAACAGGAAATAACTATCCTAAAGAAATAAGGGACCTAATCTCTGCAAAAAGAAAACTAAGGAGGAAATGGCATCAGACTAGAGCTCCATCAGATAAAACCAAACTTAACAATGCCATCCAGCAGTTAAAAAGAAAGATAAAACAAATCAAAAATAAATCTATTTGTGAGTACCTTAGTGAGTTGACAAACGATAAATCCATTGATTATTCTCTATGCAAAGTCACAAAGCAATTAAAAAGGCCCAGTGTGCAGAATGTTCCAATCAGGAATACAGATGGTAGCTGGGCTAGAAATAATATACAAAAAGTCAATAGATTCGCAGAACACTTAGAAAACACCTTCAAACCAAATAAAAGAGAAGAATTACCAAACAGGAGCGGCACTCCGTAACTAAAAATATGAGAAAGGCAAGAGATCTTTTTTTCTATCCTGACTTCTTTTGACGTTTTTCTACTCTGTAACTCTCTTCGATTACTTACGATTGAACCGAACATGTACGATTGTTACTGGGAAAAAGATCGCTAAGACCTCGTCGCTTAAAAATATGTCTCGCTTTAATGTAGGAAGGGGTATAATTCTTACTTTGTTTACATTAAGAACTTGATTTGGCAGTTTTTTATGTGGATTGTCGGTTTGTAATTAATCATATTTTTGTTAATTATTTTGGGTTTCTTGCATCACATGTCTTATGACAGGCTTCATCTGTTAAAATATAACTATTATTATTATTATTATTATTATTATTATTATTATTATTATTATTATTATTATTATTATTATTATTATTATTATTATTATTATTAAATAGAAAGTCAAATTACTGGTATAATCTGAAATCACTACTTTTATATTCTCCACTTACCTTTAAACACAGGGTTTGCTTTGGATTAGCGGTAAATAAAAATATTAAAAAGCAGTCGAAAATGAACTTTGATCCAGAATAATCAATGGAGTAATATACTATTTTAAGAAACTCCACGTTCAAAACATCCAAATTTATTTAAAAAATTGGGTTAGTTAAAATAATTTCTTTTTTTATTTAATGTGTCAAATAGAAGTCAAGCCAACAGTTTTAGAACGAGTAGTTCGTTGTTTTAGAAATTTCTCTTCGCGACGGAAATTCCCGATTCACACCGAATTAAATAAAGAAATTGCTACAGAGTACAAATTTCGATAAGGAAAAAAAGAGAGGAGATTTTTTCTCTTCCCTTTCTCTTTCATTCTCTTCATTGCAATTTGATACAGAGTGCCACTCCTGGGCTCCTCTAAAGAGAGATGTCTCAATTATCAGACCAACCTCTCCAAAGGAAATTACAGAAGATATAAAAACAAATATTAATCCTAAAAAAGCTCCTGGCTATGATTACAGAACAAATCTTAAAACACTTTCCTAGGAAAGCCATAATTAAATCCCTTATGCTAACTCGGCAAAATATCTAGGTATTACATTAGATGCAAGACTTCGCTGGAAAGTCCATGTTAAAAAGAAAAGGCAAAAGTAAGATATAAAATTCAATAAAATGTACTGGTTACTTGGTAGACATTCCAGCCTATCTACACATAACAAAATTCTATTATATAAACAAGTTCTCAAACCAATTTGGACCTATGGCATTCAGCTCTGGTGTTGTGCCAGCTACAGTAATATTCTAATAATCCAGAGATTCCAGAACAATGTATTGAGGAACATTGTCGATGCTCCTTGGTACATTAGAAACAGCGACCTTCATCGAGACCTTCAGATGGATACTGTTGGCCAGACTATCACCAGATTCGCTAGGCTCCACGAACATGTGAACGTTGAGGTCATCCAGGTTCTTGACAACACGAATCTGACAAGAAGACTCAAGAGAGTGAAACCTTTCGAGTTAGCCAAGTGATTGTGTTAATAACAAAGCAAAGCATTGTGCGGTTTAGTGTTACACGTTAGTTTAGTGTAATTATCAGACCCTAAGGTATATTAGCGAGTAAAACTCTAGTTTTTAAAATTGCAACCCTAGTTAAGTTAGTTTATACCAAAATTTTTTATTGATC